AAGAAATATTTAAAATAAATACCAAAATGGAGAAATTTCAGATTTACAAAGAATATATTAACAGATTCTTGACCTTCCATGCATCTGACAACACATTTTTCTAGCTTAGTATACATGTATTTTGTATGACAGAACAAGAATTTCTCACTCGTATGCTTTATTGAAAATTCTGTTTAATGACTTCTTGATTTGGCCAAAACGTATAACATTTTAGAGATTTAAAATTTATCTTGATAACTATATAATGCTGGCAAAGAACGTTCTGTCGATTTCGGAAAGATAATCCTAGATAAGAGGAAAGTCTGAATTCACATATCAATTGTTTCTGTGCTTAAAAAAATGCAGAGTGAAGATGCTTACCGATTCTATGGTCTCTTTCCAAAGAATGATAACAGCAGCTCGTCAAACTCGGCCCGCAGTTCTCAATTCAAATTTCTTTCCGTAGTGTTTCCTTTGGTTCGAAGATAATTGTTATCTGGGCAGAATTGTCTGTGACAGAGAATGCGAACACAAACTTTCCTTTTATTTCATAATTTCGACAGTATTGAACTCAATTTGGGACAAATATATACCTCCTGAAGACCTGCATTCATGGCATCGGTAGGAATTCACGACTCTCTTTGTCCGCCATCTTGAATTTCTTGGTTTGTTGTGAAACACAACACTCTAACTAAAACACGCATTCTCATTGGTGGAAGGGGGAGTTTCGTGACATCACAGATGTCGTAATATATTGGGATATTCTGGACTGCTTAAGCAGTTGTGAAATTAAAGCCTGAAAAAAATTTGGGCTTGAACAAGATTCGAACACATGACCTTTGCTATACTGGTGCAGTGCTCTACCAATTGAGTTATCAAGCCAACTTGGAGCTGGTCATGTGAGTTTGTAATATACACTTAGATGGCAAAGAATACAACTGTGGATAAGATATGAAGACGTGATTGATCATCGCAGTTATACACACAACTTAAGCAGTTGTGAAATTAAAGCCTGAAAAAAATTCAGGCTTCAATGGGATTCGAACCATGGCCTTTGCGACACCAGTGCAGTGCTCTACCAACTGAGCCATCTACAGGTAGATGTATATTACGAACCCATAATGTGATCAGCTCCTGATGTACATGTCGTTGAGATCAAATTCTTTGAGAATACAGTAAGAATTTTTAAATCTTTATTATCTTAATACTTGGCTCTTATTAACCAAGCAGGAGGTCTGTATGGGAGAATCTTGACCAAGGTCGTGGGTACAGACCGAACGCAGTGAGGTCTGTACACACGACCGAGGTCAAGATTCTCCCTTATAGGCCGACTAAGCTCGGTTAATAAGATGTTTATTATCTGGCGCAAAAAAAAAAAAGTTTAATTCGTTTAATGTAACTGGTTTGTGCGTACTAACTGACATTTTCCTTGCGACGGGCGATGAGCTCAATTTAATTCTGCCAAAGTTTGGTCGTCCTCTTTACTTTTTTTTCTCATCAGGCTTTTTGGCACTTCCATAAATAAAGATTGTTAGATGAAAATAGTCAATGATTTTGCATTTTGGTTTGCAACTTTTTCAATGCAAAACATTATCGGTCTAGATGCCGGTCTAGATGGGAAAATCTAGACCGCTTTCAATGTCGATTTCAGTCAATCAAATTCGTGAATTTGGTAGTTCCCAGTCCTTGGGAGATTATAATCCATCAAATATTTTCGCTCGCGCGCGACTGATCTAAACACGTCACGTGACCGAATATTCCCCAGCTATAACTGGGGAATATCCAGAAATATTCCCCAATTTTCAAAACTGCGCACGTTGCGAAAAAGATTTGAAGAATAATAAACACAATAGCCTCCATGTTGGGCGAAAATATGCTCGGATATTTGTCCTTGGACATTTCCTGTTCCTCGAAGCTCACAGTTTTCCTCGAGCTACACTCTCGGAAAACCGTTCACTTCTCGGAACAGATAATGTCCGCGGACGAATATCCGAGCATATTTTCGCGCCAAATGGAGGCTATTGTTTATATATTCTCCAATTTTCAAAACTGCGCGTGTTGCGAAAAAGATTTGAAGGATAATAAACACAATATCAATCAATCAATCTTTATTTGTACTCATTCTTGCTAAAGGAAAAAAATTACAATTTAAATGAAAATATTAAAAGTAATAATTTGAGTACTAGCTGCCTGGAATAACCATAGGGGCTAGCGGATGAGGAAAACGCTATTTCTATGCTATGAAGGAAGTCTAAAATAGTTTAAATTATATATGAATAAAAAACATTAATATAAGAAGAGCACACAGTAGCTATGGCAACTAATAACAGTTATATATTAAACTATAAAAGAAAGACTTGAAAAGGTGACAGAAATGAACAAAATACTAATTTACAGGTAAATTGGAAAACAACACAACTGCTAATAAGAACCCAAGTAACTAATAATCTTTGACTCGATCGCTTTTTACTGATTTCTTGAAGTTTGAAATAGACAAGGTTTTCCAATTTTCACTAATTGAGTTCCATACTTTGGGGCCCTTAAATCTTATGTTGAATAATCCATAATTTGTTCTTACTTTAGGTTAAGTATAGAACATATTCGAAGCGCTACTTGTGTTATAGTTATGTCTTTTACTGACTTGAGCGAAGAAAGTATCAAACACAGATGGTAGACGTCTATTGTGAAATTTATACACAAAGACTGCAATAGTAAGAAAGACAAGGTCAGGCAGTTTAACAACATTTAAGCGTTTGAAAATTGGACTAGAATGCTCATGAAATTTAGAGAAAGTCATCACTCTCATTGCTCTCTTTTGTAAAATAAACAAAGGCTGGGTAGTTGAAGAATAAGCCTCCATTTTGCGCGAAAATATGCTCGGATATTTGTCCATGGACATTATCTATTCCTCGAAGCTCACAGTTTTCCTCGTGCTACGCTCTCGGAAAACTGTTCGCTTCTCGGAACAGATAATGTCCGAGGACATATATCCTAGCATATTTTCGCGCCAAATGGAGGATATTGTTTATATAATATCTGCTTAAACATATTTAAGAACTAG